CGCTTCGATGACATTTTGGAAACGTCAAACTTAAATTTCAATTGAATCCTTATGATCACGTGATTATTTATTCAATTGCATTCGAGTATCGCGTCAGCCATTGGAATATCTTTGAAAAATTGCGCGAAAGTTATAAATTCCTTTGCTATATACAGCAGATTCCAATCATTTAAGATAAAATCGTTTAACTCATCAAGAAAAATTTGAAAACAAACGTCAAAAATAATAAATTTCAATGAAATTACGGGAAAATTTCGTACGACTGATAAACTTTTTCAAACCAGGTTTGAATTCGTTTCGTCTCTACGCAGAGAGAGAGGCCCATGCATGTTCCAACACGCGGGAACGCGAGGCAATATGGAACACTCAAACAGAAAAGCCACTTCGATGGGCAGGATGGAACTTTTTTACGAGGCTGATTCCGAACATATCTGTAAATATTGATTTATTTCTTCGTAAATCGTCGCTGCGGTTATAAAGCTTTAGGATAGTTTGAGATGAATTTGAAAGAACAATAAACAAAACTGTTAAATGGATCATCGGTGTCAAAAAAAAATTTGAAATATGAAAATTGCTTCGTCCTCAAATATGGATCGATTTAAACCAAATACTACTCGATCAAAAATCGTTTGTTGATTTTTATCGAAGATCATTTATAAATTTGCATATGAGGAAGCAAAAATCTATATCCAAAGGAATTGAATAAAAATATATTCTTATTATTAAACAAATTATCAAATCCAACTCTTAAATTAAAATAACACACACGATGGAAAGTTCCAGAGCGTGAAGCTAATATTTGTTTCAGGGGAAGGAAAGTATCATTTGAAAACATTTGCATAATAAGCAAAAAAGCATAGAAAATTCTACGCGAATAAAAAAAGAAAAAATTCCTTTCATTTCTCGCGCGCAAAATATAATAATGTAATCAAATCAAAAATCTCCAAGATGATCGAAAGAAAAAGAATAGTGAAGAAAATCGAACACACTTTCATTATCCTCTTCAGACGATATTTCACATTCTTGTCTATTCATTCAAAAACCACCAACAATCGCAAAGAACAGGAAACACCATCATATTCCATGAATATTCCCTCGTATGAGGCTAATTTTCACGGACTTCGACGAGAATAAAAGACTCTTCGGATACGAGAGGCGACGAAATGACTAAAAGAAAACCAAAAAAAAGAAAATTTTATCCAGTACACACAGAGAGAGAGGAAAGGGTGTATTGCGACCATTTTCTCGAACTGTTTTTCCAGATCATCGTGCACAACCACCGCTCCTTTTGCGCCCCGTTTCTATATAAAAGAGAAGAAAAGAAGCCGTTGTCCTCCCGCCGTGTTAAGCGGTTATTTTCCAATCTGCTCGCCGATATTGGCTTTATTACGTCCCTTTCCTTCGTGTCCACCCTGTTCCCATCCCCTCCACGCCACTCCAACGTGGTTTCTTGCGCTTTTCACTCATCTTCATTGTCGGCGTCCCCTTATTGCCACCGTGGAAAAACCGTGGCCTCTCCTCGTGGCCGTGTAATGGCGTGTAAACGGCTTTCCACACACATACACACATACATACACACACGCAAACACACCACTCAACTCGATCGTGTTTTTTCGCCGACTGGAAACACGAAATTGCTCGAATATGGACCCGCGCCCTCTTCAACCTTTAACCGGAAGAAACAGGCCATCCGGCCTTTTTATCCGTATCCGAGGACCAGCGGTGCGGTTTTAAACTCGGTCGTGTAAGGGGCTGTTTATGAAATATATATTTCATCATTTAGTCGCGCTCGCTTGGTTTGATTTGTGGACCACGGTTTTTCGGAGTCTCCACCGGAGAGGGGATGATTTATACTCCTGGTATTTTTACACGAGGAAAGGGCGGGAGGGGAGAGGGTTAATGAAATCCGAATGGGCTCGAGCGTGAGGAGACTCGTTTAATTATATATTAAAAATATAAAACTCGGTAATTAAAATGGGTATAATTCTGTGGATTGGGGAATTTTTAGAAATTGTAAAGATATTTGTGGATGATTTATTAATTGTTGTTATTCTGTTATCATAAAATTGAAGTGTATATTTTGTTGTGGATTTTTTTTTAAATTTTAATAAATAGGTTAGATATCGAATATAATGAATTTTATCCAACACTAATTGTAATTCGATGTGTTTTTTTCCTTTTTCGGACGTGGAGAAAATTTATCGACGAAATAATATCATAGTGATCAGCAATTATTTCCATTCGCCGAACGATGATGCATTGGAAATTATCATTACGAGTGATTAATTATTCATCCTTAATTATTTGAAATCCATTTAACTCCATTTAACTTCAACATCCACTCGCTGTAATATACCACGATCTAATAACCGGTCGACTATTTCCAACCGCAAGGTATAATATTATAATTTATGCAAATATTCTATTCTTGTTGAAATTCCTATTTATTCGTTTATATATCGTAGAATAATAAGTAGTTTGCCATGATAATGGGATGGGATTTAACGAAAGAAAAAAAACGAAGAAATTGAATTTATAAAATTTTATAACGTTTTGTGTTGACACAATAATTAATTTATTATTAATATGTAGTGATAACAATTGGTGAGAGATTTCAGGAATATATTATACGTACATATAGGGTGTAATGGTTTATTTCATCTTCAATAGAATCAATGCTTATTCAATTGGTATATAACAGTAAATTTATATAACACTGTGCTTATGGTCAAATGAGGAATGTTTATCGGATGGAACTAAAATTTCATGGATTTCTATTACAGAAACATTTCTATTACTCATTTATATTTTGCAATTGAATGTTGTATTCAGAGATTGTTTCATTATACACGTTTTTAATTAATGTAACGTAATTAGATTATTATCAAAATTTAAATTAATTATTGGTTAATCAATTGACTATATATAGTTATTGGATTGCAATTTAACAATTAGTTTACCATAATTATGGAAATTGATAGGATGAATCATTGCTTTATGGGGATAAATGTTTCCAAAATTCTTTCCATTATTCGCAGGATTCTTTTATTTCGATTGCAAAATATATATTTAATTCAAAAGTTAAGAAATAGTATAAAGAAAGTTGAGGATATAAGAAAAAATTGTAGTAAAATGTTCGACACGAATCTCAATAAAATTATTATAAATTTACAGTTTAATCGCAAACAAGGGTGGAAAGTTCCGGCATAAAGAATAACAGCTTCCCTGAGTTTCGTATCGCTTACACCTCTTCAAAACTTATCGAAGGTACGAAAAAAGAAAATTTCTTAAATATACATCCAGCTCTCTTTAACGAAATTTAACAGAAACAATCCACTTTCAGCATTTTATTTTCACTTTCACAATAATCAAACTTTTTTCCAGTGGCTTCGAATCACATCAGAATTAAATTTATTATATCCCATAAATATAAAGTTTAATTTTTGTAATTTTAACTACAATTAGTCTTCGAATTCCAATTTCTATAATGTACAAAATTTCGCTTCCAATTTTCCAAGTAAATATCCATCATTCGTTACGTACATATACCATATCCCCATAACATTTTTTTCACTTATTCATTAGCATGAATCCACGCCCCGAAGTATCTCGATATCATCCTGCGCGGCGGAATAATGAAACGTGACACGTTTTCATACATGCATGGCGAGGCATAAAAATGCAAATGGAGGAGCAACAGACATTCCCCGATCGCCCGGCCTAGGCCAATGTCCAGTGTTTCTCGCCCCTGTGGCCGACATCCTCCCGGGGCCTCCAATTACGCGGCTATTACTTGGATAATTAATAACCGATATCCAACAGCGGCACGCACACACCGGATAACCGGGATTTCCAGCGAATTATACATGGGCGAGGGCTCAATGCGCAACGCGATACATTATGGTCCCTGGTTGATTTAAGTATGCAAAGACTATTCGAATTTTCTCTCTGTTTCGTGGCCGGATATTGAGTGTTTCGGATGTGCACGGCGAATCGAATAAATTCTGTAGAGAAAGGGAACGCTACGCCGGGGGAATCGAATTATATATATATATATATTTATATCGATTTATATATGTATATTCTTGTTAGATAGTTTTTTTTTTTTTTTTTTTTTTTAAAAAAGGGGGGGGGGAAATTTTAAAAAAAAAATTACAACCAAAATAAATTTCAAAGGAAAAAATTTCTTCCCAAAAAAAAAAAATTTCCCCCCCTCCTTCATCAAAAAAAAAAAAAAAAAAACTGGCTAGCAAGAATATACATATAAAAAGCCATAAAAATATATATATATATATATTTATATCGATTTATATATGTATATTCTTGCTAGCCAGTTTTTTTTTTTTTTTTTTTTTGAATAAGGAGGGAGGGAAATTTTCTTTTTTTGGGAAGTAATTTTTTCCTTTGAAATTTAATTTCGATGTAATTTCATTCTTAAAATTTCCTTAATTAATTAGGATGTTAGATGTTAGATTAATTAGGATGATAGATAATTAGGAATTGATCGAAATATAAATTATAGATCAAAATACCAAATCCACTCGTAAGAATCAGGAAGATTCTGGTTTTATAACTGAAAATTGGTAGAACTAAAGCACTCACATAAGAAATTGAGGACTTTATTTAACGATGGGCTGCTAGTTCTTAAGAGCTATGGCAAATTGCTTTTCTTAGCAGCAAAGCTTAAAGTTTTATAACCGCTTGGGAGAAAAACGTTTTCCTAATATCAGTAAGACTCTTTCTCTTTTGATGCTCGTGTTATCTAAGAAAAATCTTCATTATTTTTACGGGTATGTAATAAAACAGGAAAATAATAATCGTATTATATTGCAATTGTAATTGTGTTTTGTAAAATGTAGATTTTTAATTATAGAAGAATAATTATTGCGTTAATAAGAAGATTGTATACGCGAGTAACGAAGATACGAAACAAATATTATTAATCGAAGGATTGAATCGTGAGTCACGATTGTTGAAATCGATTGTTGAATTTATTTTAGGACGTCCAAATGCAAAACAATTAATCACATTTCGTGTAAATTCGATAAAACAATAATTCGTCCGTAATAAATAATAATAATAATAATGACGAAGATAATGATAAAAAATTCATTTTATGACAAACTGACACAGAATTGCTATGTATATCTGGAAAAAAGAAAAGAAAATAGTTCAATTTTCGTAAATAACAAGCGACGGTAATAATCGATATTTTCACAAAAAATATCTTATAAAAATTCCAATTTTGATAAAAAAAAATTGATGAAAAAGCTGCTTTGAGAGTATGAAAACTGTGAAATTACAGGAACAGGGAATATTATTATTTCTCTACGAGAACGTTTTCCATTAAAAAAAAAAAAAAGGTGTCACTCGATTAAATCTCACTCATAGCAATAACGTTTGAGCCTGGTATTCTGTCAATATTTGGTTACAAATGGCTTATTACGGAATTATCTCTTGGCGGAATGACACGTGGGGCTGAAATTTCACGTATCATGCTCTCTATGTATACAGGCACGAAAGTTGTCTCATAAAATAGAGAAATATTGTCTTTGAAGCGAAATCCCGTATCTCTCGTCCCGTTTATGTTTCACGAATTTTCCTCGTTTCAAATCGTTCGAAGCTTACTGGAAAACAGCCAACGGAGATAAAAATTTAAATGAAGTTTGTTAGTTCGATGCTTATTCGAGTAAATAGTGTAATTTCAATGAATTATACACCGTGTATTGCGGCACCCAGTTGCATTGTTTTATAACTGGTCGCCCTTTCTCGTTGTAACGAAAAAACACGCGGAAGATCTATGTTGATTTTTTTAATTTTTTTAAAAAGAAAGTCGAGGAGACTTTTTAGAAGGAATAAAATAATACGTCGAACTCGATGTTTTGCGTGGCAAGTTCAATCACATTCGTTTCTTCTTTTTTTCTTTCTTTTTTTTTTTTTTTTTTTTTTTTTTTTTTTTTTTATTTTTATCATCGCACAAGTTTCTCGACTTATGCTACATTTATAAATGTCTCGCAAAGTAGCAAGTTTTCTGGGTCGTATCCTTAATAAAGCAAAGTGTTGCGAAGAATCGATCCGCACTTATGATAGAGATATGCACCACTATTTTAGACGAAGATGCACTTACACTTTTTCGAAGGTTCATTATCGCTTGATGAAAAAAAAAAAAAAAAAAGAAATCAAAGTTCTATAGAACGATAAATCCTTTCGCCGTAATCTTTCATCGAATAAAAATAAAAATAGTATTATTCGCGAACGAGAATTCGTTGAGAATTCTTCGCTCGATAAATTGAAATAAACGGATGGAAGGTGGATCTTGTTGGAATAGCAAGTGTTGTTAGCATTTGATCTTCTGGATTCTGGAACAAGAATTAAGATTCTAGAACGTGCACAAGGATGATCTTAAAGGATTTTTGGATTAGCGAAATGATTCTGTCTTAATTAGGATCTCGCTGGTGTAATCTGGTATTTAATACTACAGACTAATCAAACAAGAATGTTCTCGTGGAATATACACGTTGAAAATAAATTTCAAAAGAATATCAATTATTTTATACATCAAATTAGGAATATTTCACAATTTTTTTCAAATCAATTTCTCCTTCGTTTAATTTTTATTTTTTCTTATAAAATTCAAGCGACGTCTTGAATCACCTTCGTCACTAAAACATCAACAACTCCATCGAATTTATATGACAACTCGGTTAAAAATAAATTAAAAGAATTGATCTGGAACGCAAAATATTTTCTATATTCGAATGACGAGTTGATAAACTCGTCTTTCCCGCGTCGTAAATTCAATAACTCGTTCCATAAACCCCCTATAAAATACAACAACCGACATTTCGCGCAAACCTTCGTGGTCACACGTCACCATATTTTCGCTTCGTCGTTGCGAAAAATCAATTGCAAATGATAATCCCGCCAAAGAACGTTATCGATCCCGGCAATAATTCGGCATATTCGGGTCCAATGCGATGGTCTTTTTCCCTACCTCTCATTTTTTGAAAATTCTCCACACGCGGACACGCGTGTGCAATATCCATTCCGCACGCTCGTGAAACATTAAATGCACCGTGAAAGCCCGCCGGATTATATTTGCATGTATTATCCCGCCCAGAGAGAGGAGCCCACTTCCTGTCGCGGCCATCGCATCTCTTGACCCGTGACATCAAAGGCGCAAGAAAAACTGACGAATTTCGAAACTCCTCTCTCCGGATCCGGTCTGTCGATGATCGTTTGCGTGTTTGTTTTTTTTTTATCTTCTTGAACGAGGGAGAAACGTGCACACAGAAAACTTTTTTTTTTTAAGCTTTTGTTGTCGCGTGGAAGATCGACTTTGAAGAATCGACTGTGTGGATGTCGTAATTTGTAATTTAATTTTAGGTAATTTTTAGGTTTTATGGAAAGGAGATGAAGGAAAATTATTCCAATTACGTAGGAATTGAATATTTTTCATTGAAACAAAGGAATCTTGGGTTATAAACTTTCCTCTATTTAAACAATTAATAAATATCAAACGTTTATAAGGATTTGAATATAGGTATATTATATTTAAATTTTGATCTAAAAATATATTGTATCGGTATTATTATACTGATAAACGAATATTGCTGACGTTTTAATATCAGCAAATTAATGGTATTCTAATAGAATTAATAATTTATTAATTTTAAATCGTTTATTAAAAATTTATGGACAACGTGTGTAAATTTAATGTATTCGATAGTTATTCGTATAGGAATTAATCTTTTCGTTAGTTTAAAAAAATAAAATCTTTTTTCTAATTTTATAAAATTTTTAGATATATTTTTTAGTATTTTGCTAATCTTAAAAAATTTTCCAATTATTTTTGAATAACAATATTTATACGGATTCGATTATCCTTATTTATAATGGTGAATAAAATTGATTAAAAATTCGAAAAGTCAACATTTTTTAATTTTTTGTTTCTTAAATTTCGATACAAATTATGCGTAGAAGATAATTCTTTTAAACGCAAAACGTTGGAACGACACCTCCTGTGCGTCGATATAATCAATCAATATTCGCGAAAATCGATCGAGCTGTTTCAGTTAAAATCTGCTTAATAATGGAATTAAAGAGAATAGATTATCTCGTCAATGTCTTGCCCTGGTTTAATTTATAGCTTTTCACGCGGTTCGTAATTAATATTCCACAAGGCCATTCGAATTCTTTCATTATCATCTTTGAAACATTCATAAAATTAGAATAGTGGAATATTTATTTATTGATTTCTTTTTTTTCTTTTTTAATTCAAGAAAATTCGATCAATAAATGTATGAAATTAGAAATTTGACAAAACAAATATATAATATTTAATATTTTTTTAAATATATAAGAAACAATCTAGTCTTTATCTAGTTTTATTAAATTCGGCTTTGGAAAAGTTAAAGGTTGGAGAGGATATCGAGAAAGTGATCATGAATATTCCACCTGTATTAAAGAGAATGAAAGGTTATGCAAACACAAAGGCACTTTTTCCACGAGATATAAGCACCTTTTTGAAATCCTTTAGATTTTTATTTTATGAAGATATCCCCTCGAGGATCTCGTTCCCCCGTGAAGACACTTTGCGGTAACAAAATTCAAAATACTTGAAGAATTTTTTAATACCCTTGAAGAGGTGGTTAAAATTGTTGCTTGTGTTTATTAGCATTTCATAATTCTACTTGTTAAACGTGTTTATTATTAATGTAACGAAAAAAGGTTAAACTATAATTGATCGTTCATGAATCGTGTATTAAAATATAAAAGCTTTGCAATTTTAAAAACTTGATTAATTATTAAAAAACAATCGATATAAATCGATAAAATTTCAAATTCAACAAAAGTTTAATATTTTTAGCAAACAAAATCTTTCTTTAAAACCTTATTCTCGTTCCTAAAAAGAAAGAAAAAACCAAAATGAAAAATATTAAAATTTCAGAAACGTAATTTCTAATTTATCGTCATATTGAACATTATTCGATGATATAATTTTCGATGTAAAAAATAAATTATATTTTCCCTGTCGAATCGAACGAAAAAAAAAAAAAAAATCAAGAGAGGGAGGATTCGACAGGGAAAATTATCGGAAATATTCGAAGCATCTCGAAGGATTCGCGTGCCTGCGAAAAATGGAACCGGTTACGGCGGTACAAAAGGATCGTCCATTAAGAGTGTGAACAAACAGAATTCCGATATGATCGATCCGCCGTTCCGCGCGGAATAAAATTTGGAAAATTCGAAATTTTCCAGGGATGGCCGCCACTGTCACGGCCTGGCGCTGCATAATGGGCCGAAGTGATTTAGCTGCGGGTATAAATAAACGGCGGGCGCAGGTTTTAAAGGAGCCGTTGCCCGAGGCCGCGTGATGCTTTATGCCGCAACTTTCCATTCTAAAAAGTTTATACGCCGTTAATCCAAGTGAGCCAGGAATGCAACGATCAACCGCGATTTTACGATTTCAACCCCGTTTTGATCGCACCCCGTATCGTATCGATCAACCCCGACCTCTTTCTTTTTACGACAAATCTCTTGGAACGGGTAGAAACTTTTTATTTAATTTATTTGAGTAAGTATTAAGTGACGTTATCGTGTGAAGCTGGTGTAATGAATTTTGAGATAAAATATGGTAGATGGTGATGAAATGAAATATGTATGGTATGTATAAAATTAATATTTTTAATATTGTAGATATTTCCTTTGTTTTGTGGTAATTAATTTTTTTGTTTTTGTTTCCAAGATTATCAAGGTTTAACAGATTAATCGAGGTAATAAACTTGCTTAAAAAGAAGCACTTTTTTTATTTAATGAAACAATAATTGAAAATATTCTGTTATAGATGATTGTTGACTTGGGATTTATATTTATTTATTCTCATTCGCGAATGAGAAATAAAATATTGTAATAAATGTTACTGAAATATACGCGAGTTTGGATTTAAAAAAAAAGGATTTCGAATATATCGATCGATTATCTCGATTCAATCAAAAGTTCATCATCTACTGATCCTCTCTTCCTTCTCTATTTGAAAGAATTAGCAATGGGAATCGATGGAAGCCGTATGTATACCAAGTTATAAATATGCAAAGTTTGGCAAAAAATTAATTCAAGGTGGTTTCATATATGGTTCCTGAATATCGTTCTTTAGATCCGTTTCTCCCGTTTCAATATGCTAATTTCCCTATAGATTTCCGATACTATGTATGTTAATATATTTATTCACTTACTCCTCTTGAAACGATAATCACCCCGAATCTTTCATCCCCTATCCTCAATTCTTCAATTCATAATCATTTACAAACTATTTCTTCCACGAGTTATTCAAACCTTCAAATCTATATTTTACCCTCCAAAAATAACTTATATCAATATAAGACCACGAATGAAATTCAACCTTTCCCCTTCCCCAAAACAAATGCTACTCTCAATACAATTATTTTTCTAACAACGTTTCTAAGAATCTAATTTTAAAAATTTAACACAAACAACAATTATTTTTCTCCACAAAGATATCCACAAACATATACATATCCACGATTCTCAGACAGTTTACAACACTCTCCCTCTCCCTCTCTCCCACGCGTTATCCAAATCCGATATCTCCTCGAGAATAGATATACCAAAAGACCATCGACACACCGACGTAACATGCAATTCCATCGCGGCAAACATTGGCCAGTCCCTAAAATGGAAACAACGGAATACACTACTGGTAAAATCGGTAAAATCGGCCGACGGGAATTCGCTCACTCTGGAAAATAAACCGAACCCAGGAAGCCCAGGAAATTCGAGTCACGTACCGGTTAAATCCCCGAAAGCAAGATTTTAATTAATCTTAGCGCTAGGCCCCTCCTCCCCACCCCCTCCCCCTCCCTCGATCTATACTAACCGTTTTCCACGCTTCACGC